GTCCCCATTTCATACCCTCGTCGATCTCAGAAACAAAACGAGTTCCTGAAAAAAGATAGCATCGTAAGAATTGGTGAACATTGCAGTGTAAGCTCCAACTCTTCTTTGGAACAAGATCATTAGTCGTGGCCTAATTCGGCAAGTACTCACCTTATGGAAGTAGAGTAAAGGCAATTTCTTGAGCAGTCCCATAATCATTTTAATTATCCAGGAATTTACAACAATGTTATTTTCTTCAAATACCGACCACATAAATTCCTAACAATAAAAAAAAATACAAAGTAAAAATAACATTAATTACTGCGCTGGTTAGTCAAGTAATAAAAATTATGTACCTGTAGTGTACCTGAAAAATCAAATAACGTATTTAAAAAAAAGTCCATATTTCAGATAAAAGTCGACGACTCTTCAGAACGGATAGAAAAATTAAAATTCTGTAAACGCCTTCGTTTTTAGCTTGATAGCGGAAGCTTAATTTAATATGTACATTGAAAATATAACTCATATATAGCGTCGGCGTTTCGTCGCAAACTTATAATTTTACTTCACCAGAGTCAACTAAGGAAGTATTGTAACAAAGCGACTAGCTGTTTTCATGTTTCCTCGACATTTCATAGAATCGCATAGAATCTTATTTGTACTAAGACAATCATTTTGCACACGTCAAATAAAAAACACTTTATGCATATTAACGGTTAATAGAAAATACAACTTTTTAATTAAATAGAATAGAATGTAATGTAAACTGTAATACCAAATCGTAAAAATTATTATTTAGAAACTCAAACCCTAGATCACGAAAAAATAGGTACCCGTTTCCGTCTGTCTGCCATCTCTGTCTGTGTCGATTTTTGGTTTAATCATCCCCACCAACAATTTGATGATCCCCCCCTGATTTTTTTTATTAAACGTCATTTAAATTTTACAAAATAACATACTTCTATACTTGTGGTTTATGAATCCGCCTTGTCTTTACACTAAGCATCCAGTTTTTCGTAGAAAAATAACCTTTTATACTTACTGGTATAAGGAGCAGGCCACCACTATTTCAATAACGTACAAACCACTGCCCACTTGTAACTCGAAGGTCGCGCGATCGAAGCGTTCATGGGAGGTTTTTTTTTTAAACTGTAATTTTCATTATCTAATGTTTTTTAATATACTCTTAAAAAAAATTGTTATTTTAAAAAAAATCAGATTTGTTGGACTGCACCTCAGAGGCGAAGGAAGTTCTGTATCAGTAACCTTACACGATTTTCTTACTTCCCGAGCGTAAGCCAAGTAAGTATTGTAATCAAGTCCGTCGGCCAACTCTCTTGACTTTCATGACGCCTAGTATACGAAGAAATAGGTCTCCCGTTTCCGTTTGTCTGTCTGTCTGTCTGTTCGTCTCTGCTGTCTGGATTTTTATTAGATAGACAATAATCTCCGAAAATACTGGACCGATTGATGTCAAATTTTGTACTTATATCAAGAATGTCATGTAGATGGTATAACGCTAACCAAAATTTGTCTAATCTTCCCCACCAACAATGTGATGACGTCATTTCAAAACTGTACATAGCAAATGAGTTTTAAATTGTATAAAATAACATAGTCCTACACTTGTAGTTTATGACTCCGTGTTGAGTTTTTACCCGAAACGTCCAAATTTTTGGAAAAAAATCAAAATTATAAAATAACATTTCGTAATCTAATTCCGAATCTGCAGAACTCAATGTTTTGAAATCTTGCAAATGTTTTAAGGTTATGAGTTATGATAGAAATGATAAATTTTCTTATCCCCTCCAAAAAATTAATGACGTCAGCTCAAAATTTTGCCAAATAAATCCTATCTAAAATGTAGAAAATATGATGTACTTGTGATTTATCATTCCATTCATATTTCTTGGATTTGCTTATACAGGCTGACTTAGAAATATCAATGAATGCGTGAATTTATTTTATTGATTTAATCAGGAACTGCAAAATCAAATGGTTTGAAATCTTGGAGATGTTTTAAAGTTATCATAAGCATGGTAAATTTTTGATCAAAATGAAATTACGCATCTCCCCTAAAAATTGGTGACACCACCTCAAAATTTTGCTGAATAAATTCTATGTAAAATGTGCAAGATATGATCAGCCTATACTTGTAATTTATCATTGCATTCATATTTTTTAGATTTGCTTAAACACGTGTCTCAAAATATTTAATGAATAAGTCAGTTTATTTTATTGATTAAAATCAGGTACGGCTCACTCCATTTTCCCAGAAAATTTTGGGAATACAATACTGTTATTTTAGTATTACACTGCACCAATCCAAGTTGATATACGTGTATAAAGAAATTATGTAAAGAAAAAACTCAACTCGAAAATGCTGGATATGTTTCATTGTATTCAGCTGCAAGGGAAATTCTATCGAAACAAGTTTGGACCAATTTTTTAAATTGCCACGTATGCTTTTTTAACGGAATTTAATAGACGATTACATTACTATGTCTACTTATAAAAAAAAATGATTTTCTCAGTTTAAACTTCAAGTAGCCCGTGTAACCTTATTCCACCACGTTCCAAGACTTACTTTCCTTCTCTTCAAATTTACGAAACACAATGAGATGGTGAAACTCTCAACTTACAGCACGCGTAAGCATGTAATTATATCTTTAAAACATCAAGTAAAGTTAACGAAGCCACTAAATGTTTGTCTTCAGTATAAAAAAGAACAACCAAAAACTTTTACATAAACGGATTTACCTGTTTTTTATCACTGAATGAAAATGTGCATTAGAAACATGTTATAAAAGTAATATCGAAGTAGTTTTGTGACCTGCATTAGTAAAGCTTTCGTTCTTTCTTCCATTTCTAGTATCTACTTTACTGCTACCAGTTTATGTAGCGGGAAACCATTCACACTATCTTCTATTTTTATGAAACAGAAAGAAGAAGAGTAGTTTAGAAGTAAAATAAAATGTCTAAAAAATTTGTAAAGAAAATGATAAAATAGAAAATATAATCGAGCTAAACGTAAAACTTATTAAAAATATATATTCCCACAGAACATTTTCGCGTAAAATGGGAATTTCTCAAATGTACGATAGTTAAATAAGTCAGAGCTAGATTCGGTTTTGTCGTGAATTGGTTAGTTTTAGAATACAGAGGAGAAAGAAACTAGATCGATGTACTTGACTGATGCACCTCTTTTTCTTAGACTTACCGATTTGTCACTAGACTGCTCGACCGATCCAGACAGATTAAAACTTTTTGATCTATAAACTTTACGTATTGAGATATTTTAATTGTAGTGGATTTTGTTATATGAGCTTCCTAAAACTTGTTAATTTCAGAAAATACTTTCGTGGCACCCCAACCCATTTTACCACAACACTTTTTGATTGATGAATACATGAATGTAAAAAATTCTTCTTTTCATTTCAGTTTTAAAACTCATTATATAAATATTAATCTGAACATCAAACAGTTTTAAGCTTGTGTGCACGGAATCATGCTGATACATTTTTAATCCGAGTTCCACCAACTACTTCTTATTAAAAGGAAATTTCCAACAGTTTTTCCATTGATACTGCTACAGATTATAAAACCGACCACATTCAAAGGGCTATAAAAAGTAGAAAGTGATCAATAACACTGCCAACTGCTCTAAAATGGCAATAACGGCTGCTTTTTGGATACAAAACTAGCAATATTCGCGTTATAGACAAAGTTGCAAAGGTAATAAACAACTCCATAAAACCACTGTTAATATGTTACACAATAAATGTTTTCTGGAATTTGTGATATCGACCTTCTTTTTATAATAATAAAAGACCAAATTGGACTGAGTCTATGATTATCATCAGCTTAGACCCTCCTTACACTGTTTCCAGTATGGTAATTTATTTTTAATAATTTTTCCCCACAACCCATCAACTCATTGACAAAAGATGGATTTTTCTTAATAACAGTTGCAGCATGTTCTAGACACGTTTATTTGAGTTCAATTCTATAGTTCTTGTAATCTCAGCCATTATGTAGATATTTGCATATTCTGACAGTCTTTGCAGGGTAAGACTTTACATTGTTCCTCTGCAAAATGAAATCATCTTGAATAGATGACGCAAACAGCACACGACGGAACTGCACAATGTTTTTAATAAACGTTCGACTGTGTTAAAAAATCCATGGCAACACACATAGATGCATGCAGGTAGCAGATTATCCTGTATTATCTTATTTCCAGCATATTGAAGTGATCATAAAGTCTACTCGACGTAGAACATGAGTATGGTGATTTGACGAATATAAACGAAACTAACTTCGTAAACTTTCCCTACTGTGCACATTTCAATCAGGTGCTCTCTAGAAAATTCGTAAACAGCTTTGTGATGCTCTACACTTTAAACAAGATTGGCATGTGGGCGTCTGGAGCGTATGTTACTCTTAGCAAGACATGTTTTTAGTATCTTCTTGTTCACTTAAACTTTGTGCACACTTGCAACCTGTATTCGACGACGTTTTGTTGCCATAAATGGATTTAACACAACAACCATACCTACATGTGGTCTTCTGTAGAGTTTTTACAAGTTTTCTTTAGATCTAGGAGTACTTTATATATAAATATAAAAGTATTAACTGAAGAGATGTTGAATATCTATAATTAAAAAGTTATCGCATCCATCCAGAACTCCTTATATGCAACAACAATCAAAAATTATAAACAACTTTTAATTTATTTGACTACAAACTTTGCCACCTAGCTATATTGATTTGGAATAAATTTTACGTTACTGACTCGAGAACAAGTTTACCGTCCAAGCCAGACACTCAAGTTCCTTGCCGCCACAATTCTCACTAGTGTTGAAACGTCCAAGGAGGTAAATCGAATTCGCCCAATTAACATCTGCATTAATCTGAGCCAGAGCGGCGTTAGACATAAAACAGATTACTGTTTCTCCGGGTGTTCACATCCATTACCGAGATTACTGCTCCAGGGTTAGTAACCCGTCTTTCTTTTCCAGACGAGTCAGACTGGTCAGGTATCCTTACATATCAAATATTGGGCGTGATTTTTCTAACGGCGATGGCGTTAGTTCTTCTAGCCGCTGTGAGTTACCAATGCGCAGCGACATGGAAGTGGATCAGAGACAAGACCTGCGGCGACCCTTCGGAAGGCGAATCCTCGGTAACCAAGCAACAGGCAGCCATAAGAATCAGCCACTCGCTGCCCGACCTCCAAACAGAGCCATTGACACAGGAATATGTCCAGGAACACAAGGACGTCGTCGCCAAGAAGGTGATTGATCCTTTTCAAGGTAAGTTCCGCGTGATTGATGACTGACAAACTTGGTTCAGGTGCTGCGCCAAACAACGCTTCCCATCGTTCCAACAAGACATCAGACTTTCCAGAGACAGCTCTCGCACAGACTGGAGATGCCGTCGAACGTGCAATTCAGCATTTGTACTCTGGAGCACCGCAGCGATTCGAGCATCGTGGGGTTGATTAAGGTACTCAATAGTGCTCATTTCTGAATCAGTATAGACGGTAAATTTCAATTAGCACGCTCACTTTGAAACTGTTTCTTTTGCAGCCAGAACTGTATAAGAAAGATTTAGTGAGACAATCATCGGCTGACAGCTCCGGGGGTCCTGAGATGGAATATTGCGGAAAATTACATTTCTCTCTACGATACGACAAGGACGTGGAAGGGCTGGTTGTAAAGGTAAATTTGCTTCCTTAATATACACCTAGTGTATCCATTTTAACTAAACCTCGCCATTATTTACTCCCAGGTGGCATACAATAATATTCGGAACGCTCAGATTAAATGAAAAAATGTGTTCAATTTAAATTTACTATTGATTTTTTTTTAATAATACTAACATTATTATCATTAAACTATCCATCACACAAAACTAAAAACACAACATTTTTATCGTCTAACGTTTCAGAGTACAAAACAAAATTTACCTGACTTACGGAATAGATAATTTAATACTATTATCTAAAATTTACATCATATCTAAAACGTAAAACCGTCAAGCCGAAATTGATATTTACAGGGTCTGGTTGTAACAATGAATTTTAATTTTATCCGATAGCTGCCCATACTGTGTCACATTAATATATTATTCTAAAGGCCAGTTTATACAATGTTTTAACTGAGATTAAGTTAATCACGCTTTTAACGAGGCGTTTGGCGACGTCTGATTGACGTAGAGTCGGTCACATGGTACTTTAACGTCGAGTTAAAAATGTAATTGTTAAGTAATTAAGTCGAGAGATTGTCATATATTTTTATGTTTGAATAAAATTATAATTTTTAATATAATATTAATAATAATTAATAATTTCTTTGTTCATCAATAGAGCCACGGGTTTTGCATGTATTTTGACAGAAAAATTACTTTGACTCAGACATAAAAGCACTTAATCCCAGTGGACGTGGGTGGTACCCATATAATTATAACAAATTTAATTTCTTTTTTCCATGCAACTCTTTAACGTCCGGTTTATTTAAACACCGTGAGGTAAAATTACCAATAAAAAAACTACAAGACGATTTAACTTTTACAATATTACAAAGATATTTTAAAAGTTTCAGACAAGTATACGACCTACAAAAATTTACTGTAACTAGTCAAATATAAGAGAAACATTCGAGAGAATATAATTTTAATAAAAAAAATTGGTCGAAGGTTATTTCAACAAAACTTTCCTCGCCCCCGAAGTACAGTCCACAAATCCCGCCTCTATGAAAAATTATAAAATTTGATTTTTTTGTAATAACCTTGGTAAAATAAAAATCACTGGCGTAAATTACGCACGCAGCCCCTGCGCCCCGAGGGCGCAAATTCCACACAAGTGCAGACAATATGAAAATATTCAAAGTAAATACCCAATGGAAAAAATGTATTATCAGCATATGCTTAACTTCGATTCTTTATGTTTATGCACCGAAAGAATGCTACGATTAAGCACGTAGCAAGCTACCTAATTTGAATGGTTTTGTCTCTTCAAAACAGAGGAGACGACTAAAATTATTAATTGAGTATATGAATATTATTTTGGACAATTCTTGTTGTATTATTGATAAATGCAGATGAGAACAAAATTACTGTAAACTCAAATTTTCGAAAAAAATGTAGTGAATTGTCCTTGATCTGATCAATAAAAAAATTGATCTGAGGTTATTTAGACAGAAGTTCCCTCACCTCTTAAGTATAATCGAACGAATCCAGTTTCTTCAAAAAATTATAAATTTTGATTTTGCAAAATATTAATTACTTTATGATAACCCATGTAAGTAAAAAAAATGATGATATAAGTCACAATAAAAAAACACCTTATGGATAGGATTCGAACTCACACGGAGCACAGCACAAATCTCAGGTCCTACTCTACTACGACGAATTTACTGCAGTGCATTGCAGTGGCGAGATATCGGATATTGTATAAACTACGTGGAAAAGATTGCACATCAAAAGATTGTAAAATAATTCTAACAAAAATCAAGACAGGTACATAAACTACAAGTATAGAATTTATTTATTTGATAAAATTTAGATAATTTTAACTACGCAAACTAATGAGGAGATATCATCAAATTATTATTAATGGAGGTGATTAGAGAAATTTTGGTTAGCACCAACTGCACAATGTTCCTATCATACAAATAAAATTTGACAACAGTCGGTCCGATAGTTTGGGAGAATACCAATAAAAACCGAAACAGACGATAGACAAATTTAAAAGTAGCCAATCTTTCGATGAAGCTTCTTACAATACTTCTTTAGCTTACGCGTTATAATTGTGAATTAGCCTAAGCTAATACCAATGTCGAATGACAAAATATTTTGCGCTAATACTCCTATACATTTTCGTACGAACAAGTAATTACACATTTTTGAAATACAGGGTGTAGTTAAAAACTATTTTTTGTGCAAAACAGAAGAATTTACGAGAAGTCTTCAAAATAAAATGTCTGATTATAGTACTACTGATTCCACGGAAACTAAAGAAAAGTTTTATTCTTTAATTTCATTGGTATAGTACTTACCTACGCACACTCACGACGAATAAATTTGACACAGATGGTGGGAATGATAATATTTTCATTCAATAAACTCATTTTTGAAAAATAATTTCCAGATTTTTATATAAACTATTGTACATTTATTTTGCGGCAAGTACCGTATTAATGAAAAAAAATACTTAAAAAAAGAGTTTGACAAAAACGATATGTCCAAAGAAAAATTTGCTGTGAAAATAGCTTCATTTGTAGATGCTGTCACGTGCTATTCGTTTTTTATTAAACTTTTAATTTTGAAGTAATGTTTCCCGAACAGCTGAAATGAAATAACCTAAGTAATAAGAATATATATACTTTTTGATATTTTTATGACATTTGTTCTTCCAGTATTAAACAATTGTTGTCTTATAATTTTAACATAGGACCTAGTTTCCTGTACCAATTTATTTGTTTTTATTATTAATATTCTTCCATTATTTTCAGATGCAAACCGTTTTATAAAGCGTAATTTTTTACACTTGTGTCACTCTGTTACGACTTCTTTTGATGACCGCACAAAAATCACACATGGTTTAAAAAATTCCACAGTATTTCTTTCCTTATTTCTCAGAAGAAATTTTTAGACCTTTTTCTTTGATTCTTTATCTTTTGTTCAAAATGTATGTACATTAAAACACATATAGAAATTATCAGCAATAGTGTAAGAAACTAAATGACATCGTAGATATTTTTTAGAGATTCCTGTCAGCTAGTTTAATGTAATTATACTTTAACTACCCGCACTCCGCCACTGACTTTGATTTGAACACATTACCTTATGAAAACACTCTGTTAACTTCTCTGTTAATTTTAACGAGTGCATTGTTCCACCCATGATAGGAAACATATTAACAATTGCTCCAAAAAATATGAATGAGTGATATTTATATATTTAGTGAGTTTTCCAATTTGAAAATATTCCGATCAAGATTTTAGTAAGGACATGTATGCCAATGCCAATACGTGCAGTGTAATACTAATAACAAAGTAATGGAGTGTACCGTCCTTGCTTTGATCAATAAAAAAAATACAACTAATAACAGTAACAGTGTAAGAAACAAAAAAGCCCATGCGCAATTCGCGTTACTAGACCAACGTCGCACAGCTGTCGAATAACCTGACAGGTATTAGTATAAAGGGTTGCTAGATAATTTGGATTTATTGCGAAAATTTGGACATCGCGGAGAAAACTTCAGACGGATTCATTAACCACAAGTACAGGAGTTTGCGATTTTATAAAATTTAAATCTTATTTACTGTGAAAAATTCTCAGGAAACATCATCACATTGTTGTTATTAGGCACATTTTGGTTAGCGTTTTATCAATTTTTCGTACGGGCGCAGCCAAAGCTGATCATTATCGAAGATTGTTTGAAAAAAATGAACTGAAAACAAAAGCTCATATCGTGTGAAGTTTATGCACCGCCTAAAATTTCAGACGAATTTTTTAATCATACAAACTCAAAGAACGTCAAGAAGAATTAATATTTTGAGTGCTGTTTTCCTCTTGTTGCACTTAGCATAATTAAAAGATTTTTTACAAATACCGTTCTAATTCCAAAGTCGCAGGAAAAGCGTTGTGAATAATACGAACGAGAAATGTATTAGTTTCGCTTCGAGTGTCTCAGAGTCGCAAATCACCATTAATGATTTGCTATTGTAAAGTGAAAATAAATATAATAACAGCTCATTACTGCTTTCGATTTCTGAAAACTTTTTTTTAATAATCTACGTAACACAAAAATGCAGCATCTGACCTGAATTTTATTAACTTAATTGCTTTTTTATTAAGTTCGCTATTAATAGTTCAGCAGTTTTTAATTACTTGTATTAGCTTTTGTAGACTTACCATGAACGTTTTTCTAAATTTGCCGTCTACATTTATAATCGCATGGTCTAATAAATAGTTATATGGATATTGCTTTACAATTTCTTGGCAACACTTTTCTTTTTTGTCATTTTGATTTTTCGTTATTATTTGATGTTCTATTCCTGTTCAATATTTTCCTTTCGTTAGATACTATTTAATTTATTGCTAACTTTTCATTTCCCTAGTGTTTTTTAGTTTGACTGGATATCGTATTTTCAGATCCTCTCTCTTTTTCGCAGTAAACAATTTTTTCCGAAACTCAAAATTACATACTTTCTTTTTAAATCCCTGTATAAAATACCTCCGCTACTGAGATATTAAATCTTCGAAAAAATATCACACTTCATTTTAATTACGTACCCATCGTTTTCTCTTTCTCTACTTTTTTTAACTTGTTGAGAGAAATTCGAAAGAATATTTTATTTTTTTATTTCATCTTCATAAATCTTATAGTCTGAAATAAGGTTTTACCCTTATTTGCAATTCATTTTGTACTACGCTGTGTAGAATCAATTCATTTCGCTTAATTCGTATTTCCCCTTGTTCATCTCGTTCTCTGTTCCTAACTGCGCACTTCGCACATTCTTATTTGAATTCTGATACTTAAATAAAACTCTCTGTCCCTCTCCTGTAGTGATTTGTTGTTTGCACTGTTCTTTGTGTTAATCAGTTTGGCCTCTTCATCTCTCAAACACTATTGCTGTTTGTGCGGATCAGTTTTCTACAAAAACAACTTAAGATATACTGAAAGAGATTATAGCAAATCCTAAAACTTAATAACTTTAACTTCTTATTCTTAGTGTTAGAATTTAAACTGGAAATTACTTTGTCGAGAATGTTGAGTGACTCCAATTTACTCCGAGTACTGCTTATACGTAAACTGTAGCAAGCATTTTTATGACTTCTGAATTTCAGTTCAAATCCTGCTTAACTCAAAACTGACATCATCTTCGCGCTTCCGCTCCACCACTCTCGCTAATGACAAAAGACTCTGATAAGGCGAACTCAGCAGTATTCCTTGCAATAGAATTCAATAATTTTAGCCAAGTTTCTGTTTGAAAAAAGCACTGATTAGAAGAAAGCGCTTCATCATCATTTTTATCAACTTCGAAAGACACTTCAATCAATAACGGCGACACATTCCGCTTATTGATGCCTTCCTTGCACTCCTTCATTTCTGTTCCTTCATTTTTATTATTTGTCCATCAATTCTTCCAATGGCCAATTTTCTCAACCACCACCTTTTGCGCAGGTGTTCGAGGGACGCGACCTGCCCATCAAGGACTCTACGGGAAGCAGCGATCCATACATAAAACTGTACCTTCTCCCGGACCGAAAAAAGAAGTTCCAGACAAAAGTTCATCGGAAAAACCTCAACCCGGTCTTCAACGAGACGTTCATATTTAGGTGAGTCCCAGGCAGGGTCTTAATAATGTCGTTAAATCCCCAAACGAGATCCAATTTGAATCTCAAGTGACCAGCGATCCCATTATTCAATAATTACGAAAGAGGCCGCAACAGTTCCATTCAGAGCAAGCGATTGGGAAAAACAAAGCGGATTTTCTTTTAATTGGAACATGGCCATAATTAAAACTGAGCGGTGAATGGAAGAAGTTTGACAGGTTTCGTGTAATAAAGTGCACACTCGCTAGGATCTTATCGAACTTAATTAATAATTCCTAATGCGTAGAGCAAGCAAAAAGTAAACGGGGGGTGGAAGTGTTGACAGGTGATACATCTTGTTTTGCGCGTTCGTAATAAGTTTCTGCTCCCCGCACTTAAAGCGAGTCGTTTGGATACTTCGCTGAAAAATTTTTAATATATGAACCTTTAAATTGCTTAATGGTTATTACATTATACGCACTCGGGTGCGCGAAAAAAATAAAAATTATTTCCCAGTTTCACACTATTAGGTATATCACATTAAGATAATGCATTCTTCGTTAGGTAGCAAAATTTCGGTTCCCTGCCTAAAGTATCGCTTTCTCAATTTACTAAAACTGAACTCTTGCAATCATGGGAAATATTCGCACAAAGAATTAGAAATTATCTGCGCCAATATACTTAGGTAATATTTCTAGAAAAATAATAGAACGCACGCCACTGTACAAATATAACATATACCGCAAACGTGGAAAGTTCTTTTCCCGTAAATTCGTGAACAAAGTGCAGCCGGCATTGAATCTAAATCCTCGAGGCTTTTTTAGTAAAGGGGAATATTACGCTTCGGCGCCTCGCCTCACCACTGCAAACATATAAGTATATCTCTGAAATTAGAAAATCCACATTGTTTGAAATAGTCTTGTTCACTGGGAAATCTCAAATTTGTATCCACAATAAAATTAAATAACAAATTTAAAATAGATCACATGCATTTGATTATTTTACGTGATTGCATTTGTTGAGTAGTTAGGAGTGTGCCTTTCCTTTGTCTAATTTAGAGTTAATCTAGTCCACTTTTCACATTACTTGCATCAGATTTACGATAAGAGAACATAATTTAGTCATTTATTTTCTTTTTACATTTTTTTTTAGTATTTAACAATTTCATAAAAATGTGTTATCTCAAAACCCTGTACAAATGTTGAAATCAGGCAAACGATCAGAATTGACCCAATTCGGTAGTCCTTTTCACGACGATTTCCATAGAATCATAAACGTGTAAAATAAGGCGGCTTTACTCCAGAAATAATTTATGATGAACTGCTTACTCTCGGGGAATACTTCCCCAATTCGAAACTTGTTCGCATTGAGAGTGTCTCTTGCAAGTAAACGCAGTTTGGCTTGTTCACTGAAGAGCACGTCGCTCGCGGCGAGATCAGCCGATCAGTGTCTCGTCATTACTGGATTCGACTTGGAGCTCTCCAGGGTTGATTTTGAGGCGATTTTTCGCAAGTGGACACGTACCTGAAGCTAGGGAAATATTGCAATGGAGTCCATCGGTCGACTCGCTACTTTTATGTTTTCTCGACGTTTCATGATCCCTAGAATACGAAAACATAGATCTCTCGTTTCCGTCTGTCTGTCTGCCGTCTGCCGACGGTCCGCGTCAGTGTCGACAGATGATCTTGTAAATTACCAGATCGATTATCAATGATAAAACGCTGACCTAAATTTGTCTGATCATCCCCACCAAAAATGATATGGTGTCATCTCCAACTTTTACAATAGTAAACTTTGAAACTGCAAAACCGAATGCGCTGAAATCTTCAAACGTTTTACAATTATCGTAAGCATAGTAAATCTTTCATCAAAATTTATCCGTTTGCCCCCTCCCAAAAAAGTTTATCGAATAATTCTAAAATACGGACAGTACTAAGAGTTTATACTTGTGGTTTATCAATGCTTATACAAGGTGATTCAAAAAAAATTAATGAATGAAGCGACATATTTTATTGCCCATCCCATTTTCCTGAAAATTTTAGGATACACTACTAGTATTACACTGCACCTATTCAAATTGAAATACGTATCTTTGCTAAAGTGTTGATGGCCTCATTAAAACAATTTTATATGGAAAAACTCACTTACCTGCACTTTAACAATCCACACATATATTAATGTTAGCTCATAGAGATCTTCATCAAAAAAATTAAAATTCTCAAAGTTAAAAAAAAGCTGTAGGTATTTGTTCGACTGAACTTTAGGAAATTCTGTTGAAATAAACTTAGACCATTTTTTTCGACATTTCGGTGTTTCTCTTAAAAAAATTACAAGAAAAGAAAATATATATAGCAAAAAAGAAAAAGAATAGAGAACACATTAAAGTGGAGTAATAAAATACAAGGTGTGAAAAACTGAAATATTAAAACTCTACTTTATATCACAACAAAGTGCGTCGCTTGGTTTATCTTTCTACTGAATATTATAACACAGATTTTAACATAACCCTATTTCGAGTTTTTTGTGAATCCTTCAAAATTTCAAGAAAATTGAAATAACGTCAGAATGTCGCGTTGAAATTTCAAAAATAGGCTACGATTTTGAAACCTAGCAACAGGTCAATGAGAAAATGTTGAACTATGGAGGATGTTGTATTAAAAAACTAAGCTGTGTGTTATGTCTCAAAAACAGTTTTAATCTCTGATTTTTTTTTGACTAATTAATGAGATATCAAAGAAACCGCAGTTACTGACTCACTCTATGTTTATTAACAAGCCAACAGCAAATTGACCTAATTTAGGTGAGGTAAACATAAATCTCCTAATTTGCAGCCACATGTTTATTCATACTCTCAATGTTAAAAAATTGGTCGATGTTGATATGATGTTGCGACAGTTTATATGTGATAACATCTATACATAAAAAATATAAATAATAGCCGTAACAGTGTAAGGAAAAATGAAAGACCCACGAGGCAATCGAACGCGACCATTTCCACATTGCTTCCGAGATCTGTAAATTTAACCGGTCAACGACAGAATTGTTCTGTTCGTCATCGTTTGTAAAAGATTGTTATATGTATAGTTGATTTTTGCAAAAATTTTGATGCAGAGAAAAAAGTCAAGGCGGATTTTAAACTAGAAGTGTAGGAGTATATTCTTTTATGACATTTAAATAATTTGCAATGTGGAAAATTTTGAACGAACGTCTGGTGGTTATACATGATACCAACATATTGTTACGTTGAACAGGTAATTAAAATCGGCCTGGGTAAACTCAATAATTTATTTCTTACTAACTCGAATTTACACGACTAACTATTACAGCGATTATTTACAAAATAAATTCGACGCAACTTCACTGGGTTTTCTCAACACTCGTTGGAGTCGACTTGTTAACTGCATTCAGGTCTAGTTGCCTGGACTACACTAACTGCCCCCGACGGTGGTTCCTTCTCGAAACGCCTACGTCATCTCTGCTGGACTTCCTCTTCCAGGCTCTTCTCCGGCCGGCGTCGCCGAGAATTAGTCATACATACACATACGAGAACCCATAGCCGTCGTACCGAGGCGGCATATGGGTTTATTTCGTAACAATATGTATAAAATTTGATAACAAAAGATCCAGTAATTTCAGAGATTGTCTGTCTGATTAAAAACGACACAAACAGACGACAAACACACAAACGAAAACCGGAGACCTATTTTTAATACTCTAGACATCATGAAAGGTCGAGAAAACATGACAGTAGCCACTAGTCCGATGGACCCTATTACAATATTTCGCTTTCTGTTCCTATTTTCTGATTTAGTTGTAAAATGCCATTTCCATTTTAAAATGGAAATGGCTCTTGTTATCACTAGTGCAAAAACGTGACATTTGTCAATGATTTTTGGAAAGCTGTTCGAAAGAAAAACAATACTTCATTAATTCATGTTTCCTATAAACATTCTTAATCTACAAAATCGCTGAAAGTAACTAACCTCGCCTAGGATAAAAACCAAAAAAAATAAATAATATCCCCACAGCATCTGCGCAGAAATTGCAAGGGATTGTGTAAATTGCACAGTTTCGCACAATGTAAAATATGTTTAAAGCAGATAGCCAACTGGAAAAATGGCTTCTCAGCAGTAATAACAAGCTTCATTTCAAGTGTTTGTTAATACGTCAGAAGAGTGTCATGCAGAAATTTGTTTGATTGGAATGAGTTTATCGCCTCGAACAGAATGCTCTGAATATTATTGTTGGTATAATTTTTATAAATAAAGACGTGCGTATTCTCACTCTCGTTCTTAATTTAATAAATAAAAAATTTGTTATGACGTCATAAACATACATAATACACAGCGCGAGAGAAAAGAGAGAAAAAAAACGGCCAAGTTTGACATTAAATGTGGAACCACCGGTTCGCCTTTCGAGCTGTTATACTTATTACTTACTGAGACAGGATCGGGATATGGTATGCTAATGGTAAACTCTTAATATATTGTGCTAATATTTTTGCAAACATTTGGACGTTTAGGGAAAAACTCAAAGCGGATTCGTACACCACAAGTATAGAAGTATGCTACCGCAAATTTTAAATACTTTGGAAATAGAATTCTTTGAAATGACGTTAGTGTTAGTGGAGATTATTAATCAAATTGTGGTAAGCGTTTTACCATCTACATGATTTCCTAATATACATATCGGTCCAGTAGCTTCAGATATTACGTATCTAATAGACATCGACACAGACGCCACATAGACAGACAGACAGAGAAACGGAAACGCGAGACAACTTTTTCGTATTCTAGAGATTGAGTGTCCATTTATCCGATGGACTCGATTACTATACGACCTTAACCTAAGCTCAGAAAGTAAAAAATAGTAAGTGGTGCCCAGAAGAGAAAATTTAAAATTCAGGAAAAAAAATAACGAAGAAAGTGGCAAAGTTAGAGATCTTTTTTCTAATTTCTGGGACACCTAGTCTTAGTTTCTTAAAAAAAAAAAAGAACACACTAATGACAATGGCATGAACGTCG